CTTCCCGCTCCGCTGGGCCCTGCGCTGAGCCAGACCAGCTGCAACGCCGTGTCCTGACCAAAGGCTCCTGGGATGGCGTGTGGTAAGCTAGACCCCAAGCCTGGCGACCTAATCGAGATCAAGCGACAACTTTACCAGCACTGGGCCCTCTACTTGGGGGATGGATATGTCATCCACGTGACGGCTGAAGGTAAGGCTGGTGCAACCTGGCAGGGTGCAGAGGGAGTGCTGTGGTGCTTCAGCAGCCCTGTCTCCTTTCACGGGCTGGTGGTGGACCCACCTTATGCATGTAGATGGCTTTTCCAGGAGCAGCCAAAAAGCCATCTGAGGTCTTGGAGGGGCTGGGCAGGTTCCATCTGGCTTATCTCCTTCCTGCTTTCCCCCAGATGAAAGCATCCCACCCCTGTCAGCTGGCAGTGTGACACTATTGACCAAAAAGGTCAAGGTGAAGAAGCAGCTCCTGAAGGAGGTGGTGGGAAATAATGGCTGCAAGGTCAACAACAAGTATGACCGCTCCCGCACTCCCCTCCCAGTGAAGGAGATCATCCGGCGTGCTGAGAGATGCATTGGCATGGAAGTGACCTATGATTTGCTTGAGAGCAACTGTGAGCACTTTGTGACGTGGCTCCGCTATGGTGAGGGGGACTCCAGCCAGGTAAGTAACATAAGATAAGCCCCTGTGTGCCTCACACAGCACCTCCTTGCTGCTCCCTGTGAGCCCCTGGACAGGGACACAGCCTGTAGACTGCCTGGGAACAGTCAAGTCCCAGGTGTGCTATCCAAACCAGCACTGCCTCTGGCCTCACCACAGACCCTGGACCAGGAGGGTCACTGTGGTCTATCTGCACCCTGACAGTGCCCTCTTACTGAATGCCACAGCCTAAGGGTAAAACCCTGGGTGTTACTCCTTCTGCTTATAGGGCAGATGTCCCTCATTCTTTTAATTGCCCTTATTATCCCTGCCTGCTCTTTGTTATCATGCTTGGGGGTAAATATAATTGCTTCTATGTTTCCAGCCTGTGTTTTCCTTTCACTCTACAGGTCAGGAGAGCAATTCGACGTGGGAACTCTTTCGCTAGGAAAGTGTTCACGTTTGTACTTGTTGGTGGTGCAGCTGTGACTGCTGCTCCTGCTGGTCCTGGTGTTGTTGTTGCTGCTGCTGCTGGTGCTGCTTTGGCTGACAGAATTCTGAATACCTTTTTCTGGTAGGCATTCAGGAAAAAGAGGAAGAACTACTAATGGGCCATTTGAAACACCTCCAAGCAAGGCAGGGAGCCCC